GCCAAAAAAAAAAAAAAAAAAAAAAAAAAAAAAAAAAGGAACTTGCTGAAATATTGAACCCGCTCTCAAGTCATTACTTGAAAAGTGGAAATGATTAGAAAAATAAGGTTTTCATGTTTTATTGCACTATTGGAAATAAATTCTCTTGTATTATTCTTCTGAGAATAACTATTCCAGTAACAAGAAGAAAATCAATCTTGGGGACTTCAGTTACTCAGAAACAATGCTGTTACTTGCATTATTTCCTGGTGATGTAGATTTATTCACTTCAGGTTGTGAGTAAAGTTGTTTATGCAGACATGAGAAGTAAGTGAGATGTGTAGGGTAGAAGTGTGCTTCTGCCTTATGAGAGAGTGTTTTAGAAAACTTTGAGGAAGTAGAAAGGTGTGTCAAGAGGCTATGCAGATTCCGCAACTTAACTGAGGAAGTTGAGCTTGTCTGCCCTTTTCAACTTGAAATGTTTGTATTGCTTCAAAAGGACAGTTACAAGATATTCCAGACACAAACTAATGTCTGTGTAGGGCAGGTCATCGAACTGAAATAGCTAACTTATCCCTTGGTCCCTCTGCCCTTCCTGGAAGAGAGTAGGCCTTCCGGCAGAAGGGTTTTCTTTATTCTTTTAAACCAGTGAAATTAAAAAATAAGTTGGGAATAACAAATTGAAGTAAACTGAGTAGAAGGTTCCATTTTTGGAACATCATCATAAATACAAGTTACTCTGGAATCTACTGAAAATGGGTTGCTAGGTACGCTTGTTACTTTGCTAACTTTCTTGATTTGACTATTTTTTTTTCTTCTAGGTAAACTTCACTTACCAATTTTTGAGGAAAAAGTTTTATATTTTTAGCCAGTTCATGTATGATGAACATATCAAATCCAGACTTATCAAAGACATTAGATTCTTCAGGGAAGTCAAGGATCAAAATGATCACAAGGTATAGTAATTTTTGAAGGATTGAGAGTAACTTGGCTAAAAGAAGTGCTACTTTCATGTGACTGAAGGTGCACCAAATCATAACGTTCCTATTATTTAAATGTGTATCTCCAGACAAAATGACAGCTTTTGTGCTAGCAAATTGCAGCATTACAAATGTCTGTGTTCTTTTGTTCTGGCTGCTCTGTAAACATGGGGTTGGCTAAAATAATTTTCTCAGTGACTTGAAAATTATGATTTGATGGAGTCATGGTCTGTTGGAGGTTCTAAACTTCTGGTCCAAACCATGCTTAACAGTTGTTGTCAGTTTTGAATAATAAGATTATTCAAATTGAATCCAAAATGATGTGAATATGTAGCACTTATTCCAGTATGTCAAATGACAAATGTCATTTGGGGTCTAGGGTCTGATTTTCCATGCTGGAAAATTGATATCTCGAAAATATGAGACACAATGTATTTAGTAAAATAGGCTGCCAGCTTCTTATATGTCAAGTACTTATTTCTTTTAGGAATGCTTTCTTGTTCACAGTAAGACTTCCGTTTCACTTTTCAGCTTGCAAAAGTAACTTAGCCAAATGACTTTTGCAAACTAATATAGACAGGCAGGTGTATAATTTATAAAAAAAATGAAATTGCAAATAGAATTGTATTGACATGATGAAAACATTTAATTTTTTTTTTTAAGGGTAGGTAATTATTCTTACAAATTATTCTAAAATATTTTTCTAGTATCCCTTTGAAAGAGCAGATAAATTCAACCGTGGCATCAGAAAACTTGGAATAACCCCGGATGGCCAGAGCTATCTTGACCAGTTCAGACAACTCATAAGTCAAATTGGTATGAAATGCTATCTAAGACAATGTTATAAATGTTATTAAATGAAAGAGGTCTTCACAGTCTAGTAACTGAACTTTTAGCTCAGGCTAAAACTAGACTTAACTCTAGTCAGATGGAAAGTACTTCAGCTGTATCCCATGTGAAATAAATACTCTCATCTAATTACATAGAAATGGCCCTTGCATGTCTTAATTTAAAATATAGCTACAGCTTGTGCAGATGTCTGTTCCCTTTTAAGTTCATCTTTTCTTTATGTTATGGAAGTGACTTTGAGTGTATTTCCCAGTAAAAAAAATAGTACTCTTAAGTTCATGTATTTCAGAGAAAGGCCATATATCCAGCTGCACTAACTTTGAGCGATGCATGACATTACAATGGTATTTTCAGCCATTGATGCTGTAGATGCGCAGGACTGACCTGAACTTGCAAGTGTTTAATGTGTCCAGTGAAAAGAGTTTGTATTATTTGGCCCGTATGCTATCATGAAAGTGAACACAGCCTTGCTAGATGATGCATTTGTGTTTTATATCTCTACATAGACTTTTGATACCGGGGTTCAATGTAACTTTTTTAACTTGGCTTTCAGAACAGTTTCTTTGCCAAAATAATATGGCAACTTTAATGTACATTTCAGAGCTTACAGGAGTTACGAAGAGTGTGTGTGTGTGTGTGTATATTTAAATAATTATAAATTACTTCCTTGTTTGTTTTTTTTTTTTAAAGGCAATGCTATGGGTTATGTACGAATGATAAGATCTGGTGGACTTCACTGCTGTAGTAGTGCAATTAGGTACTTCCACAAATATTTCATTTCTACGTTTGCTCCTTCTCATTCCTTTACTCCCTATTCATGCTGATATTCCCTGGGTTCTTACCCATTCCCCATAAATTTTGATTAAAAAGGTTCATTTTTATGCCTTCATTGAAGTGGAATTATCAAAAACAGTGCTGGAATTCAGAACTGTACAAACACGGCCATAAAACAGCAAAAATCAAACAAATTCTATGGAAAAACACTGCAAAAGAGTTAATAGAATGTACATTTAAGTCATTGGTCCTTAGTTAAGTCAGTAATTCTAATATTAATCACTTCAAGAGGGTGCATTAAGGAAAAAGAGTACAAGCCTTGAGGAACTTGGAGAAAACATTTCTTTGATACTTCTTTCTGTATGGATGATAGTGTTTATATAAAGGTCATTAAAACATAGTGACTTTTACATACAAAGAAATAGTTGGTTTTCTTGGAAATAATAGTAAACTTAGTTATCAAGTGCAGCAGGTGCTAGAGAGAGGAGATGGTATGATATAACTTTAAGTAGTTCAAGCCCAGAAGACTAAATTAACTAAATTATAAATTATGGTCAATAAATACTTCAGTGAACATAGACGGTTGTACATAATATTAACAAGGTTTGTTTCAGGTTTGTTCCTGATCTGGAAGATATCGTTAACTTTGAAGAGCTGGTGAAAGAAGAAGGACTCTCAGAAGAAACACAAAAAGCAGCAAGGTACCCTAACATCATGCTTTTGAGGTCTGGGGCAGGGATGGGATGAGAGAATTGTAATTTTAAAGTTGTAAATGCAGCTGTTAGTTGCATTTTTGTGTGTGCGTGTGTTAAAAGTTCAACTGATTTTACACAAAAAAATTTGCTGCTCTTAAAAGCAGAGAAAATAGAAGCAGTTGTTTTAAATGCTGAATGCGAAGCGGCATTTCAGGAAGTTCAGACTGGACATTAGGAAAAGATTCTTCACTGAGAAGGTGGTTGGTCACTGGAACAGGCTCCCCAGGGAAGTGATCACAGCACCAAGCCTGTCAGAGTTCAAGGAGCGTCTGGATGATGCTCGTAGTCATATGGTTTAGTTTTAGGTAGTCCTGCGAGGAGCAAGGAGTTGGACTTGATCCTTATGGGTCCCTTCCAACTTGAGATATTCTGTGATTCTGTGATTTGTACTGATAGACTGTTAGAACCTGGTTTCTTGATAAAATCCTTGTGGTTTAAAGGCTAACAAGCTTTCCTCACCACGTGTCTGACATCTGCTTTTAGAATGTTCAGGGCCTTAGGAAAGTATTCATAAACCTTTTTTGAGGAAATTAAATCAAGAAACATGATTCAAGGTGGCTGTAGAGGTAGGGTGTAATCTTGGACACTGGTCCGAATACTGGGTTGTAGGTGCAGCCAAAGAGTGAAGAGCGGGTTGTTACCCTGAAGGGTGAGTAAGCACGGAACCTTCTAGCAGAAACCAGGTAACATGTTTCTTACCCTTTGCAGGCAGTTGGACTCTGTCCTCAGTGACCTCACGCGTAACTTTGCAGAAGGAACGGAGTACTTCAAAATGCTTGTGGATGTATTTGCTCCTGAATTCCGCAGTCCAAAGAACATGCATTTGCGGAACTTCTACATAATTGTTCCCCCACTGGTTAGTATTTGCACTATGTGTACCAGTACTTATTTTTAAAAAGTTTATCAGATCAGGTTTGTGTTTCAATATTTTGTATTAGACTGTTGTTTATCATATTCTACTTTCTTCCCTGATTGTAAGTGGGATTGCTCTGAGCTTGGCTTTGTTGTCCAAAGCCATGTGTTTCTTCGTTTACATCAATTCATGTATGAGCACTCAAAAGGTAACTTTAAAAATTTCTTCTCGTCCTGTTTGAATCAAATTTGGAGAAGCCAAGATGAAAAAGGAGGAATTGGAACAGCAAGGATGAAGGGAGTTTAAAACCGTGTTCTTCAGCTCTTTCATGTGTGTGCTCTTTCCACATCGCATTAGCTGTCTTCAGGTTCTTTTAATGTCATGATCTAATGCAGTACAACTGGGGCATTCCCTATTGCAATTGGGCCTGCTTTTGCTAATAAGCTTTGTTTAGAAAGAGTCCAACTGAATTGAGGCGATGCACACTTGAGTGCAGCATTCTGGGCATTCAGAAGCAGTTCAGTTTGAAGGCCTAAATGATCTAAACAGACTAATGTGTAATATCCCATTTTAGAAGCTAATTTATGGCTCATCGATGTTCCAAAACTTAAGACTGTGAGAGGACAGGTATGTCATGGTGATAGAAGTGAGGGAAAGTAAAGGCTCATGGCAAATACTTTTGTTCTTTTTCCTTCCCATTTGTAGAATTTTTTCTGATAAATACAGTTTCAGGAATATACCATCCATTTTAGTTTTTAAAAAGGCATTTCAGTGTAGTTAAATTTGAAACTGTCATAGGTTTTCGAAAAGTTGTTAAAAGTACACACATTTCCATGTCTCAATAGTAGTTATTGCATGCAAACACATACCCATCGCTCGATATTACTACCTGGATCTATTGTTCAACATCATTGTAAATGTAAGACTATGGAAATATTTTTACTATTTTCTAAATAGAATGATGTAACATACTGTAGCTTTAAAACACTAGTATCTTTAAGCTTTCCAGGAACCTGGACTATTTTAATTATCCTTTACTTGTTTACATGTTTACCTCTAGTAATCGCCAAGAGAATGCGAAGTAATAGAGTCTGACAAGAACAGCGAAGATGAAGATGTACCTTTTTGGTTTTTTACTTTCATATCTGCAAATATTTTCCAAAGCTTAACTTAACTTTCTTCCCAAAGATCTAGAAAAAGGGCAAGTTTTCATACAAAAATGCGTAATGATGGGGGACACAATTAGCATAGTTTTGGGCGTGGAATTATATTCATAGGTAACAGCATGTATGTGAATACCTTTTAAAATTTGTGAGTCTCTCTTGATGATTCCAAGACAGCTTTTCACTCTTTCAGACCCTCAATTTTGTAGAGCATTCAATCAGTTGCAAGGAGAAATTGAATAAGAAGAACAAAAGTGGAGCAGCTTTCACTGATGATGGGTTTGCCATGGGTAAGTGTCAGCACACTGACTAGCCTTTGGGTAAGCCAACATAATGGATATTTGCGAGAAAAGTTTTGTTTATATTTTTTGTGTTCCCATAATTAAAAATTCCACAATTTAAATTTGGGTTGTCTTGGCTTCAGCACAATGGATTTGAGGGCTATGTGTTCAGAATCTCCTAAGCATGGAATAGCTGAGCATGGGAGCAGACAGTTTTGTCGTATCTTGGTGCTCCCCTATTTCTTTCAAAGCTTGCGGATCTCAGCAGATGAGAAGGTGTGCAAGTCTTTGGATAAGTTGTGAGGTTTTCAACAATTGAAGTTTGTTCTTTATTATAATTTTTTCTTCCTGTTAGATTTAGTTGTAAATTAATTGCAATTTAAATTTTATTTGTGTGGGAATTAGACTGATCCGTTAAAGACGTTCACAAAACGTTTTACAAATTGCATGCTGACTTTGGTACATGGTTTGTTAATGACTATAGGTGTGGCTTACATTCTGAAGCTTTTGGATCAGTACCAGGAGTTTGATTCTCTGCACTGGTTCCAGTCTGTTAGAGAGAAGTATGTGAAGGAAATAAGAGCAGTAGCTAAGCAGCAGAATGTGCAGTCCACTAATCAAGATGAAAAACTACTACAAACTATGAACCTTACCCACAAGCGACTGGAAGTTTGTTTACAGGTATAGCATGGGTCCAGTTATCTGTTCTGTATTGAGTTCTGCACTTACCCATCACAATTCGGGTATGTGTTTTCTGATGGAGCTTATCAAGAGCAAAAAACATAGAGCATTGTCTACAGCAAGAATACAAAAAGAGTATAAAGACTTGAGGTGTGCAATCTGAAGGGGGTGTTGTAAGTGTTTGTGATATTTGAGTGAGGCGGGAACTTGACCTGGATGATTGAAAGTCTTTGTCCCATGGATTAACCTAAATGCTTAAATAGGAGAGAATAACTTTTTGGTTAAATTTCTTATAACAAAGATTTTGCATAACACTGTGAACCCTCAGAGTTGCTTGGGTGTTAATTCTGAGCTGCTAAGTCAAATGATGCACTAGCTGTCAAATAGAGGAAAGACGCATTTGAATTTTGAAGCATAGCAGTTCAGGTTTCATCGGTGGTGTAAATGCTTTCTCTCTCTCTCTCTCTCTCTCTGCTCTTGATTTGAAGAGGCTATGGGACAAATCTGTAGCTGCCTGTTTTTGAATAGCCCATGATTACATTCTGTAACAGCACATCTGTTGTTGAAATAGATAAAGCCCTGTAGGTCCTCATGACTCCCACGAGTGTCCACTGTGTTTTGGTCCTCTGTTGTTAAAAAAAATACATCACTGAACCTTGTTCAGAAACTGATCAAGCTTGTGGCCATTCAAATTATTGGCTTGCATGATTTTCCATGGGCAAGTTGCTCCAAATTCTCACTGCTGCTACAAACCTCATTTTCAGCCTCAGTGGATTAGTGACAGATTTATTGCACTGCTGCTGCTTTGCCTAAATTGCCCTTTAAAGTTTTTGGCTGACATTTGCTTTGTAAAATGCATGTCAACAAGGTATGAATGGAGGAAGATTTTCAAAAGCATTTAAGTGATTTAGATATTGAAATATAGTTGCCTTAGATGCTTCTGAAAAAATCCCACTTATCTGTCTACAAATTCATTCTTGTGATACACTGACACTCCTCTTCTGTATCTTTTCCCCTAGGAATTTGAACTCCTTTATTTCTCACTAAGTAGTGCAAGAATTTTTTTCAGAGCAGATAAAACTGCAGCAGAAGAAAACCAGGAAAAGAAAGAAAAAGAAGGTGAGTGAATGCTATTCGTAGAACATTTTGGCTCATGAGAGTGTGCCTTAGTAGGGAAAGTACTTTTTTTTGTTTTTTTCCATAGCTGCTTTCTTGCTAGTAGGTTGATTCAGTATTCCAGAAAGAGTTTGGGGTGATTGTGGAGTCAGCAGCTCACAGAGGCCTTCTTTGGAATGGGTGAATTTCAAGCTGGGCTTCTGGGGGCGGAACCTCCCCCCCAAAAAAACCCAACACCACAAAAAAACCGAACCAACCCAAAAAAGTCTGGGACAGGGAGAATTGCATACTTGTAGTAATATTAAATTCAGTAACTTCAGCATCGTACTTTACCCTCTCAGTTACCAGTTTTGACAATGACAGCCTTTTCTGCACAGCCTTAGCTGGTGTGAAATAAGCTGGTGTTTTTCACCTGTTGCTTACCAGCTATTTCTCAACTGATGTAGACAGATGATGCAGATACTATACCTGACTTTCAGATGTTTATGATATGTTTTGCTCTACCACTGAATTATATTCAAAGGGTAAGATCTTAATTTGTGGTACGGTCTCTTGACTAGGTAACATGGGTATTTTGCGTTTTATATTCATGCTTATATATTCTCCCTCGTGAATTCTGGAAGATGTTCTTGGGTATAGGAAAATTCTTTTCAAAGAAACGAGAATGCTCCCGAGGGTTAAGATAGAAGTGCAGTTCAGTCACAAGTTACTTAAGACACTCGGGTGGCAGTGTATTAAAAATGAAATTGGTAAATAATCTTCCACTGTAGTTCCGACAAAGACACAAGTGACCTGTGAGGTGACAGTCACTGAGCCAAAGATCAGTTTTCTTCTGTACCAGGAAAACATTTCACAAAGAAAGAAGTCTTTTAGCATGAATGTGTATTTGATCATGTTCAGTGAAGTTGCTCAAATAATTGTTTAACTCAAAAAAACACCTACAAGCATCGTGATGAGTAAGAATAGACATATTACCCTGGCTTCTTTAGGAGAGTATTCTGTAGAACGTCAGTTACTTAATTGTATTTTAGGTTAAATATTCCCTGTTGTGATACGTGTTCAGTTCTCTAAAAATGTGTTTTGTGGTGAGAAAAGCTTGAAATGCGTACCAGGGTGAAAAGCTTTGAACACGGTGATATCTTTGCCTTCTACCATAATATTTGGACTTGGACTCTGCAAAATGTGTGAGCATGTGTATGTAATCTTTACACAAGTGCTACTGATTGAAGAAACCTTTCACCCCAAATACAGATTTCTTCATAGGGCCAGGACCCTTCGTGCTGCAAGGTCAGTTTGCATATGCTGACCATGGTATACTGTATCAAGTGTGTTATGACATCAGCATAATAGATATGCGAAGACTTTGTTTTTACTGCCTTGAATAAAATGTTAAACATGATCCATGTCTTCAATTTTTATTTTTGTAGAAGAATCTGTTAAAGCAAGCAACGGAGATCTTTCCAACTCTACGACTGCAGATCCTGTTGTGAAATGATATGGCTGGTATGGGTGATGATTACTTAAATGATTCATGTTCTTGTCGTTACCGGTAACGCTCTGGAGGGGTAAAAGCTCTAGATTTGATTTACTTGCTCTGTTAAACCCAAGAGAAAATGTACAGTAGTTTACTAGCATCCAGTGAGGCTAGGTCTGTGTTTGTCTATATTTCCTGTAGAAACTCCTATTTTTCAGGAGTCTACATTATTTACAGCACTTTCTTTAGATTGAAAATAATTATATAAAATGTTGACCTTGGAGGTAGTTATTTTAAAGTACAGATGTGCAGATAAAAAAAAATCTTACTACTTTTTAGATGCATTATTGCATTTTTAACATAGCATTTAAAAAAAAAAAACAACTCAGACCATTGGTCTAAGATTTGAACTGGTGCATCTCTTCAACCAGAAAAAGAAAAAAAAATTGAGTCAAGATACCGTGCGTATCTGTTGTCCAAAAAATAATTCAGACATGTTTTAATGCAGTCCTGTTTTGTGTTTAATGCAGTCACAGATTACACTGGAGGCGTAACAGTGTATGTTGCGAATGTATGTTAAAGCTATTACACAAAATGGAAATCCTTATTAATGTTTTATTCCACAAACCCTTGTTATTACTATAGATAGTATTTGCACTGTGGGAACTTAGGATCCTGTCAGGCATTTATTTTCCCCTGCTGTTTTTTTTCCCCCCCGTATCAGAGAATGGGAAAATCAGAGAAGTTAACATAATAAATTCTCATTTCGTACCGAAGGTCTGATTTGCATCTACAGAAGTAAGGAAATCCAGAGCCAAGACAGAACCACAATCAGCTCTTCCTTTTATGACCAGACACTGTGTGATGGGTGTCTGTAACTATTAAGTGATCTTACACTTCATGAATATGTTGTGCCTAACTGCAAGTTTCAGCCTCAATTCTGTATTTCCTAGCCTTTGTAGGTCTGTTGTACCGTCTGTGTTGTTCATACAGTCTTACATGCCTCATTATTAACAGTAATTGCACTGCAGGCTTCAGAAGCTGCTGAACACTGTGAGAACTCTGTATAAATACAACATCTGTTAATGCCTGCAAGTAGAGGTTCTAGATGATGCGAGAGTTACTCAGATTCCTAACTCAAGTAAGTAGCTAGACTTTGCTTAAAAGTAAACACCACTTTTCATTAAAAGATACAGTTGTGTTTTAGTCTCCCAGAACATAAAACACTTCTAGGTCTTATTAACTAGAATAAACTACTCTAGTCCAACTGAGAATTAGGTTGGGGGGGGGGGGTTTGGTGCACTCAACCGTATTTTTTTAGGCCATACTTGCCAGCTTCTTTCATCTCTTGTAATTACAAAAAAGGTAATGTTTTAATGGTTCAAATTGTCCCGCCCACCCTTGGGTCACTGGTTAAGACAGTTCCTGACGTACTTCTGATTCGCCCTTTCCTGCCAGTCACTTCAACGTTCAGAAAGCCAGGACAAATGCTTTGTTGCAACTGGAAAGACCAGACTGGTATGAAAGTCCTTTTGTTGGTTCTGAAAACATGACACGGAAGCTTCATGGACTGTTTAAATCAGCTGGGCTCATTAAAGTTTTTATTTTTAATTCATTATAACTGCAGAGACTGCCCTAAAGAATGCTGCATTACTTGATTAGTATTTTTGCTTTTTTTTATTTTGATACAGGTATTTTTTTCATAACTTGTGTACACTTTCTTTTTTGACCAAATTGTGCCCGCACTGAATGCTCAGTAGCGCTGCCGAGATCAGCATTCTTGCTGCTGCTGCTGCTGATTTCCGTACTGTTGCAACTGCAGAGTACATATTTCCATATTCCTATCTCATCCGAAGGCACCCAAGTTCTTGGCTTGGAACGGCCAAGCACTGCATTTCCTTCTTCCACACAGCTGCAGAATCACGCATAGATGGTGTTCGTTTCCCCCGGGACGGAGGGGCTAGGTAGCTATGTACAGCCAAGACATCACCCGTGCTCTGATAAAATCTGCACTTGTATTTTCCCTTCTCCTACTTTTTGGGAAAGACACTATCTTGGATAGGTAATACTTTGCAGTTGAATATAAACGGAGCTGTGCATTTTCTTAACGTATGGTGGTTAACAAATTCACATGGTTCTGGTGATGGAAATTCTACAGGAAAGACAAGCCTATTTTTATAGAACCCTGTTTAATCTGGGAGACCTGAATATATGCTATATGTGGCAAAAATATATACATACACACAAATATGTACAGTGATAATAGAGCTATTCTTGCTAATACAGGACTATAGTTTATATTTCCTTTTCTTCCTGTTGTGTAGCAGCATATACATGCAGAAAGCTTTTCTCATCTGAAATACAAGGTGGGTCCTGGATTGGGATGTCACACACTCATCTGTGTCAGAGTGAGTCACATTAAATCCTTTTTTTTCCCCCCCCAAGGATCTGAAAGGGGTGCAAAATTCTTGCTGTGGTGCTACTACTATTTTCATTGCTTTTGCCCTCCTGTTCCAATTATAGGAACAAAATGCACCCCGGCTGGTTGTCTGGAGATGAGACGATGGAGCTAAAACAAAAATCCCCCAAACTAAACCAAACGTGCTCACTCAAAATTCCCAGAGGTGATAAAAGGAAAGCGAGGCTGATGAGTTTGCTGCAGGGACGTAAAACAGACCTGTAGGGGGCAGAACAGGCTGCAGGCCAGCCTCCCTCCCCCGGGGGGGGGGGGTGCCGCCACTGCCCTCCTGTGTTCAGTCTTGTGGCGGGGCTGTTGCCGCACGTAGAGGCGGTAGCGGCTGCTCTTCCCGAGGTCTTGCAACCCGCCTCCGACAGGGCGCTGTGCAGCCGGGGGGGGGCTGCCTTGCCCTTCCTCCTCGCAGCACGGCGGGGGGGGGGGGGGGGGGGCAGCTCTGGCCAGCGCCCAGCTGAGGCCCAGCGCACTTTCAGCCCCAAGGTCAAAAGGTGTTTGCATCGATGGGTGGTGAGTGACGGCTGCAGCAGCCCCCAGCTGGTCGGCCCTTCGCTGGGGAGGGAGCTGCTGCTGCTGAAGGGTAGATTCTGGAGGTCCTAACGTGGCCTGTAATCGGAAGTAAATTTGAGTTTTCATCATCAAAAACGGCTGTTTTCAGCTTCTCAGGTACAAAGGACCAAATGTAACAATGTTTCCTAACTCGTTGTACAGAAGGGTATTTTGTTACCTCAGTCTCTTTGGTTTGTGAGTAGAGAACATTATGTACATAAAACTGTGTTAATAAATGTCATTTTGAGAACCTCATTCTTAGTGTCTTCAGTAACATCAGCAGGTGTCCATTTTCTTAATAAGAAAGCTTCAACTTTTATTTATGAAGTTTTTGTGTCAGTTACTAACAGTTCTCTTCCATGGTTCTTCTAAACATTCAACAACTAGCTAAATTGAACTTATTCCATGTCAAATGCTTGCAAACTGGGATCTTTCAGATGCTGTAGCAGATTCCGCTTACAGAAAATCTAGTTTCCTAGTAAGTGCTTGAGACGAGTTAAATTAAATGTGAAGAATTTCAACCATTTGTTCCAGTTATCTTACCTTGATTAATACAAACTATGCCACAGATTATGTGTCGTGTGTTGTCCCGTCCCGTCCCTTCCCGTGCGGCCGGTTAAACTGGAAGGGAAAAAATCCTATCTAGTATCTAATTTCAGGAAGGTACTGTGAGACTAGTCGATACATTGTAGGCTTATAAGCTAGCATTTTATTGCTCAGTTTCTTAAAACCAAAGATTGCTGGTAGACTCTGCTGTTGTATGTCACCATAATGTTAAAAATACAAAGAATTCTTATAAAAGTACTTATTCGTCCTACAATTACCATCTCTGGCAACTTAACTTTTAAGAAACCTAACCATAGGGAAAACTGCACGCAACTAACATGCCACATTCGTTGACTACTTCTGATGTCTGCATGTCAGTGGTATTCAGAATAATAAATCAAGGAGGTACATTACGTCCGTTATTTAATTACAGAATGTGGGAGTGCGGTCCCCACGAAGGTAAGAGCAGGCACTTAAGATTTGTTTTGTAAGCTTATTCTAGATGCAATATAAAAATAGATTATATTAATAGGAAAAATTTAGTGTTTAACAAATTGTTTTGTGAATAGGCTAGCACAAAAGATAGATCTTGTTACACTTAGACTAGACTAAAAATAACTTCATCTGAAAACAAAGTAAATAGTGCATTTTTAACCTTCATTCAGATGCACATAATCATGCAAACTATGAAAACTGACTACGGTAGGAAATTTGAGGCCTGATACTTGTTAAAGGAGCCGACAGCTTACAACCTGCACTAATTCCAGTGGAACTGTAGGCCGCTCACCATGTAAATCTGAAGAAATGACATTAACCCTTTGTGGCTGACAGCTGTGCTGTCCTAACTACCGTCGGCGAGGGGCCAATGCTGAAACATTCCCGACGATTGTCAGCTTCCCAGGCACACCTATACACTATACCCTCACAAATGCAAAAAGCCTCGAAGGCCAAGTCCTGCTGCTGTTCCACTGTAAATCCAGAGGGAACTCCACTGCAAAGAGGCCGCGCTCTCTCTAGCAGGAAGACAGCAGCTGGCCTTGTGTGCGCGCAGACGGCTGAAAACCAGAGATTCTTGTAAAACGACTCCCTGCTTTTCCTGCTCCCACACAGGCTGCAGGAAAGGACAAGAGTTTGTTATGCTTCTGACTCCTCCCCTTCTTCACGTACGGTTCCATCCTCTTCTGACTGATCATTCAGAAGCATGAACTTTCCATCGCTCGTTAATGGCACAGACTTCATTAGCTGAGCTAATGCTTCTGGGTCCTGAAGAAAAACAAACGAGAGAGTTCAGCAGGCTGCAGCAAGCTTTGAGGAGCACGCGGTTTTCCCAGTGCTTCTTGTTAAGGTTTTGCAACTTTTTTTTTTTTTTTAATGACAACCTTTAGTCAAAGGTTTGAGACATAATCAATCCCTTTTCGTTCAGTAAAACCAGCCCTTGGGTATATAAGGAGAAAAAAAAAAAGTAGTCATTCATTTTGAGCCTTTATTTGGCTGTTCTTATCTGGCATGGATGTAATTACTGAAAAACAAGGAGAAAAATAACTAAATAAGTTATTTACCATACCTGTGCTTATTGCCTGTGACTAAAAGCTCATTCCCCCACCTTGTTCTGAAATCTTAGCAGCAAAAATATAGAGCAAATATTAATGGATTAGTGTCACATCTTTATACACGTAAATTTAGCTACAAGGGGCTAGGTAACTTTGCCATTCATTTTAAGTGGGAAAACACCTCCTAAGGGAGGAAGGAATATGAGTTTCTAAAAGTGAAACAGCGATGTGTGTGATTTACACTTCATCCCAAAGAGTTTGTTTGGGGTTTTTTTTGAAAGCTTTGCTCACAGCTTCCTTTCAAACATGAACAACTGGATTTGTATAGTTCTGAATTTGATTTAGGGTGGCAAATTTTATCTTGAATCAAGCTGCTGCCAAGTAAAACTGAGTTTCTTTTTGCATGAACTACCCAGGGGCTGTGTTAAATAATGTCTGCAGAACCTTGTCATTAGGAGGAACAGCAGTTCCTTTTTCTCAGGCACACCAGAGGTACCCGGACAGTGCAACCAAAAGCAGAATATGATGTATCATCACAACACAGACATGGGGAATGAAACAAACTTACCTTTTGTGCCTCAATGATTTCTTTTCCCAAGCTAATGGCATAGCAAATCTAAAAAAAGAAATGTACGTAAAGTTCAGTTTTGGTTTGGTTTGGGGTTTTTTTTGCTCCTTAATTGGGAGTAAAACACAGAAGTGTCAATGCAAACTTAGTCTTAAATGCAGGTCTAAAAGCAGAGGTGGGATACCAATTCACCACCCTAACTACATAAAAATAAATCTATCTTAGGTTCTGCTTCAAAGCTCACTTGGGCTGGTAAGTCTTTGTACTCAACTCAGTTTTATTCACCAAACTTTATTTCCAAACCTGGGGGATCTTTGCCAGTGCGTGTAAGAAAGAGTGTTACTGGTTTTTAAGACAAAAATTCTCCAGCACGTTCCTTATTTCTAATAGTCTGTTACTACCATACGCAGCAAGCACCCAGTGGTGTTAACACAGTATGGCTGTCTTGTCTTTGAAAGCTTTACAGATGTACGTGCTTCAACATAGCTGACACTCATTTTTGTTCGTGCTGGTGCTAGATGCGCACGCTTTTCCCCTATCTCTTAACACTGGTATTAGCAATCGCGTCCTTTCCTCCTTGTTGTACATGCTGCTGCATTATCTGTCAATTCGGTCCTTTTTAGACGTAAGCCATCAAAGGCTTGCATGTTAAGGCGTGTTTTCTTGGCAAGACATGGAGCTGCTCTTGCTTCTATACCACCGTTTCCCGGATGTGTAAGCCGAGAAGCCCGAGACCTGTTTTCTAAATAAAGTATTTTATTAAATGTTACGCAAACCTTTTCCCCTTCTGTGTTGCTCTCAAAAATATATGCGCTCATGGCTTCTTCTCCCAGAGTCTCACTGAGATGGACCACAAAGCCAATCAGTCGCCTGTTATCCTGATGAGCAGCAAACTGTGTCACAGTGGCGAGCTCAAACTGGGAAAGTATAATAAAGAATTGATTTTTTTTTTTAGCCAGCATATGGTTAGCTTGGTCAAGAGCTCAAGTTCATGTGACTGAGTATTCAATGCTGTCAAAAAAACAGATTCAAAACAAATGTTACTTACACTTGTTCGTGTAACTTGGGTTTGAGGATCTATTAACCTGCAGTTATGTGTAGAGGGAGGAAAAAAAAAAAGTAAATTATTTTAGAGTGATTCTTAGTAATTTCTAGGTGCTTTATAATATTAGGGCAATCACTATAGCAATTTTACAGATGAGGAAACATATGCACAGAATCAAATGCTTTGTCTGTGATTTCAGGTCAGTCGACAGCGAGGTTCAACTCTAGACCCTGACTCTCAGCTGCTTGACATGTATAGGTCATGGCATCTTTCTGAATCACTAATTTGGTAAGCATCCTGAGTGTATGGGATAACATACATACGGACATAAACACACTCCAGCTAAAGCGAATGTCTTGTATCAACACACTCTACAGTGACAATACTGACAACAGGACGGCGATGGCTCTCGTGCTGTTACTACGTGTAAGGAAAGAGAATCTTCCAATGCATTTTTTTTGCACCTTTTTCTGTATCTTTGCAGGGCCTCACAGCCCCACTGCATCCCCTAAATTTTAGTAGGATGTTCTTACAACTTAGTCAGGAGGATGATTTCTAGACACTACAGAGTAAGAAAAGAGGCATTTTTACTAAGTAAAGTGAATCTCGGGATCTTGCTCCCTAAAGGGTGTATTTCTTGGAGAAACAAAACCAAAAATACTTTACTAATCACAAGTAGTATGAAGAGAACAGAATGTTGACAAGTTTAAGGTTTTACAGTACCTCAAGTTCTTGCTGGTGACCATGAGATGGGATTCAGTCATACGGAATATGTTGTGAATGGCACGAGCAGCTAACACTTGTCTCATAGCTTCATAAATCACCTCACTTGTGTCATCTGACTGAACAGCCATAGATCCTAAAAACCGAACTATGAACATCTGCTGCAAGAGTGAATCTGGAAGATAAAAGGCGTGACTTCCTTCACTGTGCTACTTCAATTTTCCAGTAGCTGAAGTTATCAATGAAATTATTTTTTTCACTTTGGAAACTCAACACTAAATCTGTGGGTGGTGACTTCCTGCTACGAGCCAGGCAGTGCTCTGACCCAGTTTTAAACAGTGCTTGAACTGGCAGCGAGTGGGGAGGGGGGTGGGGTGGGGAAATCACAGTTGCTTGGAAGCTTTAAAAGTGTAACTGGTCCTTTATGCCTTATTTGATCAGCTAGTAAAATTCACTTGCCTATCTTCTTATCAGGTGCACGTAAACTGTGCACATAAAATGTGATAAATTTAGGATTGTGCACAAGCCTTGGCTTCCATCAAATTAACTCCTATCTTTAAACCTTATACATTCCTCGCTTTCTTCTATGTCCTTCTGACCTTCCATGCAGCTGGTTCCAACGAGGTTTTCATTAAATCCTTCCTTGCTCATTAACTATCACCATAAGACTCCTATTTACAACTAAGTAGCCATTATGCGACAAAGACATCATCGACTTGTGCAGTCACCTAAGCACTGTACTCTCTTCTGCATGCTGCAGCCGAGCAGGGTGCTGCTGCTGCTGCTGACAGCGCGGAGGTGGCTGCTTGTCACAGC